GCCTCGTGCAACCCAAAGAGACCTTCCAGGTCATTGGGTTCAACGCTTCGATTTGCTAAATGAGGGGAAAAGTTCAGAGAAGTTAAGTTTAAGTGGTTTCCACTTTTGCTTTTGCTTTCCCTCAACTGCAAGGAAAGAAAAGCCCTTGGGTACCGAACACCCTGGAAGTGAACGACTAGGTGCTCAAAGAAAGGCATGTCATTTTTTTAAAAAAAGAGGATGCCAAGCTGGCATGACAGAAGTGAGTTTCCACCGCCTCATAGTGCCTTGAAAGAAGGCTGTGGGCCCTTTCCTCTCCTATGACTTTAATGAGTGCACGCTGCCCGTCAGCAGAACAGGGCAGCTTGCTGCTCGGTGACACGTTGCCCCACTGGAGGGAGGCCATGGCCTTTAAGACGCCGTGATTCAGCAGCAAGACGCCGAGGACAAAGCCTTTGAGTGTCGTGAGCACCACACAGTCTGTACCTTTTCTAGTCCTCTCTTGCTTTTCCCAGGGGCAAGGCTATTGTACCCCCACAAAACAGGGCTGTTAACTCCCTCTCTGGGTTCCCTCCTGCCTTCCTCTCCCTGCATCGTAGGAGACAGCCTACCACAATATGCAGCCTCGTGCAACCCAAAGAGACCTTCCAGGTCATTGGGTTCAACGCTTCGATTTGCTAAATGAGGGGAAAAGTTCAGAGAAGTTAAGTGGTTTCCACTTTTGCTTGTTCTTTCCCTCAACTGCAAGGGAAGAAAAGCCCTTGGGTACCAAACACCCTAGAAGTGAACGACTAGGTGCTCAAAGAAAGGCATGTCATGCCAGGGGATTTTCCACTGCGTGTAAGGGAGCATGGTGGATTAAAGTGATCAACCCATAGCTCCAGTGAACAGCCTGTCTAGCCACTCCCCCTGTCCTGTGACTTTGTAGTCTCCACCCAACCTGGCTCTAGACCAGTGATGGCGAACCTTTTGAGCTCGGCGTGTCAGCATTTTGAAAAACCCTAACTTAACTCTGGTGCCGTGTCACATAGAGAAATTTTTTGATATTTGCAACCATAGTAAAACAAAGACTTATATTTTTGATATTTATTTTATATATTTAAATGCCATTTAACAAAGAAAAATCAACCAAAAAAAATGAGTTCGCGTGTCACCTCTGACACGCGTGTCACAGGTTAGATCGGTTGCCTCTCACCGGGACTCGAATCTGCAACCTGGGTATGTGCCCTGACTGGGAATCCAATCTGCCATTGTTTGGTGCACGGGAGGAAGCTCCAACCAACTGAGGCATTACACTGGCCAGGGCTACTTTTTCATCTTTAATCTATTAAGGCTGTTATCACCTTATTGCTTCCAGGTGATAAAATTTATTGACATCGCTCATCTGCAGCTGTCACCTCTCCTGCTGCCTTTATTCTTGTGGGTTTAAATGTTTTAAAAAATTGCACTGCTGTCATTATATTTTTATTGATTTCAGAGATGAAGGGAGAGAGAGAAAGAGACAGAAACATCAATGATGAGAGAGAATCATTGATTGGCTGCCTCCTGTACACTCCACAGTGGGGATTGAGCTTGAAACCTGAGCATGTGCCCTGACCCAGAATCAAACCGTGACCTCCTGGTTCATAGGTTGACACTCAACCACTGAGCCACGCTGGTCTGTCTGCACTGCTGTCATCATAGTGTCATTAGGAGGGGATGGAGATAAAGGTGTGTTTGATCATCCATGTTTTTGAAACGTCTGCATTTTCTCTTTGGACTGAGAAGTACTGCCCTCATCCTGGTTATAAAGGCAGCTTTCTCAGGAAAAGTATAGAGTGGACAGATGTATCATTTATGGAGGAAAAAGGGCAGATGATAAACTTTTGTGTGTTTATTTTGTGTATTGTGTGCTCTGTGTTTGAGGCAAGCTGTAGGGACCTCTACACAACCCTATTCCTTGCACCTCCTTGAGCCGAACTCTGCTCTTCACTATGGGGAGGCAGGTACACTGGTCAACAATGCTCCAATTATTTTTTTAAAATATATTTTTATTGATTTCAGAGAGGAAGGGAGAGGGAGAGAGAGATAGAAACATCAATGATGAGAGAGAATCATTGATTGGCTGCCTCCTGCACGCCCCATCCCTGGGATCGAGCCCACAACCTGGGCATGTGCCCTGACTGGCAATTGACCCGTGACCTCCTAGTTCATAGGTCAATGCTTAACCTCTGAACCACACTGGCCACGCTAACCCGGCCCCCTTTAAACAGCATTCCTGGAATCCCCATACAATGATTAGCAGTTTGATTCTCATTGGCTATCCTTAGCTGCAAGCAAGGCCGGACAGTGTGGCCTTTTAGCAGAACAGATTGCCACCTAGCATAAAATCAAGGGTACTGTTTAGTCAGGAAGAACATGGGTGTGGGTATTGGGTAGACAACCAGCAATATCTGCCGTGGCATGTGTTCAATCAAGCTCCAGACCGGGGACCCCAGTACACACATCTCAGGATGCAAAACTGGCCACAGGTCACGCTGACCTCTCAGAGCACAGAGTGGTGGCTTTGACCTGTAGTAACAAAGTGTAAGGTTCCGGCAACAGAGATCTAAGAGGAAAATCACAGTATGCTCGTCTCCTGGGCCCTTTTGCTATGAATATTGATGGAAGGGAGATTTGATTGTTAGAATGTGTTGCTCTTCACCTAGGGCCGTGGTCGGCAAACTGCGGCCCGCGAGCCACATGCGGCTCTCTGGCCCCTTGAGTGTGGCTCTTCCTAAGCCTTAGGAGTACCCTAATTAAGTTAATAACAATGTACCTACCTATATAGTTTAAGTTTAATAAATTTGGCTCTCAAAAGAAATTTCAATCGTTGTACTGTTGATATTTGGCTCTGTTGACTAATGAGCTTGCCGACCACTGACCTAGGGCAAGTGCTTGCTTGCTTTCCTTCTTCCTCTTTTTTAGTGAGATATAATTCACGTGACATAAAATTCACCATCCTTAAGCATACAACTGAATAGTTTTCAGTAGATTCACCGTGGTGCAATCATCAGCACTCATTCCAGAATATTTCTACCACCCCAAAAAGAAACCTCAGACCTCTTAGCAGTCAGAGCACATACTTCCTTTCATCCTTCTCCACCCAGCCTCGGGGTGATGGGCGAGCCTGACTTGTCACATGAGAAGGTGTCTGAGCTCCTTGGACAACATAGACTCCAACACAGGGATTCTGGAATGTTTTCAGATCTTGGGAAAGCCAAGGAGGAGGTAGGGAACGGAGGGCTCCCTAAGGACGCTGCAGAATCTAAACGCTCCCTGCCTGGGCTGCCTGTGAGCTACCTCCCTGCAGGTGAGGGAAGGAGGCTCCGCTGAGTGGGGGAGCCCCTTCAACACCTTCCGACTCCAAGGCACTTGGGGTGACACCCGGAAGTACAGCAGCAGCTTGAAAAGCATTCTGTTGCGCTGGTTGGTGTGGCTCAGTTGGTTGAGTGTCATCCCCTGCACTGGAAGGGCACTGGTTCAGTTCCCAGTCAGGGCACATGCCCAGGTTGCCCTGGTGCGATTCGCCCACCCTAGGGCAGGGAACGGGGGGCTCCCTAAGGACGCTGCAGAATCTAAAGGCTCCCTGCCTGGGCTGCCTGTGAGCTACCTCCCTGCAGGGAACGGAGGGCTCCCTAAGGACGCTGCAGAATCTAAACGCTCCCTGCCTGGGCTGCCTGTGAGCTACCTCCCTGCAGGTGAGGGAAGGAGCCTCCGCTGAGTGGGGGAGCCCCTTCAACACCTTCCGACTCCAAGGCACTTGGGGTGACACCCGGAAGTACAGCAGCAGCTTGAAAAGCATTCTGTTGCCCTGGTTGGTGTGGCTCAGTTGGTTGAGTGTCATCCCCTGCACTGGAAGGGCACTGGTTCAGTTCCCAGTCAGGGCACATGCCCAGGTTGCAGGCTTGATCCCCAGGTGGGGTGCATGTGGGAGGCAGCCAATCAATGTTTCTCACATCGATGTTTCCCTCTCTCTCCCTCTTCCTTCCTCTCTCTACAATCAATTAAAACATTTTTTTTTTAAAAGCATTCTGTTGTGACACTGGATGTTGACAGGGGCTTTTTAGATCCCATTGGCATTATTTAATGTGAAAAGGGTGGAGAGGATGTAGAATTCACAATTATTAAATGTCTTATGGCCCGGCTGGTTTGGCTCAGTGGATAGAGCGTTAGTCTATGGACTGGAGGGTCCCAGATTCAATTCTAGTCAAGGGCACATGCCTGGGTTGTGGACTTGATCCCCAGTGGGGGGTCGTGCAGGAGGTAGCTATCAGGGATTCTCTCTCATCATTGATGTTTTTATCTCTTTCCTTCTCCCTTCCTCTCTGAAATCAATAAAAAAAAAGCATCCTGTTGCGACACTGGATGTTGACAGGGGCTTTTTAGATCCCGTTGGCATTATTTAATGAGAAAAGGGTGGAGGGGATGTAGAATTCACAATTATTAAATGTCTTATGGCCCGGCTGGTTTTGCTCAGTGGATAGAGCATTAGCCTATGGACTGAAGGGTCCCAGATTCAATTCTAGTCAAGGGCACATGCCTGGGTTGTGGACTTGATCCCCAGTGGGGGGTCGTGCAGGAGGCAGCTATCAGTCTCATCATTGATGTTTTTATCTCGTTCCTTCTCCCTTCCTCTCTGAAATCAATAAAAATATATTTAAAAGTAAAATAAAATAAAGGTCTTATGTGTTTTTCTACTCACAACCATCCCGGAAGGTGTTATACCCATTTTACAGGCAGAGGGCCTGACGTGCTCAGAGAGCAGTAAGGTGCTCTGATAGCAGAGCCAGAATTGCAGACACTTTAGTCTCAAAGATCTCCGTGTTTTACCCTGTGCCATGCGGTGGGCACCTGTGAAATGCCTCCTGACCGGCTCCTGGCAGGTGGAGCCACTCCCTAGGGTGGCATAGCTGCTGCCTGTGGGGCCGTGACAGGAGGAGGGGGCTCAGCTCAGCCCTGGGCTTCTCCGAGCCAGTGGCAGCTTCCCCTCCTTCTGCCCGCTTATTCTTTACTCCTCAGGCAAAAAGGTTGCTCAAGGAGACTGGAGGACGGGGGTCTGCCTCGTCACTGTCACCAGGAGCCTTTCTTTCTGACTCGCTCACCAGAAAAGACTGTCAGTCCTCACAGCGCCTCTGGAAGCCAGGGAGGCAGCTGTGGGATCCTGGCTGAGCCCGGTCCAGGTGAAGCGGGCTGGAGGATGAACGGGCTGATGGGGAGGTTGGGATGTCACAGGTCTGCGCACAGAGCCCGCGGGGCGGGGACCAGCCAGGAGGGAGTGTAGGTTCTGCTGTTCACTTGCTTCAGGGGGTCAGCGTGTGTATGTGTCATCGAGGTGGGCAGGGAAGGGGAGGGCTGTGCATGGGGGGGAGGAGGAGAGGAGGATATATATGCTGGTGTGGTTGAGACGGCGGAACCGAGCCTCACATCCGAGGGAGCCGGGCGACTGACAGCTCTCAGGTAGGCACTGCATGCGCACCCCAGCCCGAGCCACAAGCCACGGCGCTGGGAGCCTTGGGGGAAAGCCGGGCAGCAGGGACTCTCCCTCAGCCCCCCTCCTTTGTCCAGGGTGGATGCTGCTGTCCCCCTGCGAGATGATTTCTTCATTCGCTTTATTTTCAATGCTCGGATGGAGGGGGGGGGAGCCTTGAGGTTTTTATCCTAAACACAGATGCTGAAGAAAGAGCTGAACTTAGAGATGAGGAAAAGTTTTGATTTAGCAGACGTGGCCCCTACTTTGTCGTTCCTGTCTGTTGAGGAAAGGGGACTGTGGAAGTGAGGTTGCAGGAGGGGCAGGCTTGCGGGGGTGGGGGGGGCTGGCTTTCAGGGCAGCCCTGGGAAGCCCCCCCATCCCGAGTGATTTCTCTGTGCAGCTGACTTCCTTTCTTCCCTTCCCTCATAGAGTGTTCAGGCTGGTGGGTTTGGATTTGGGTTTTCAGCCCTGAGGGAACCCTTCTCCCATATGCACTGAATAGGAATTGTGAGTAATGACGTGGGAAGTCGGAGCTTTGTGCGGGACCCGTAGTACACGGCTGTTTGCGCTCGCTCTGTGTGAATTCCACGTCGATTTCTGCGGGGATGACCTTGGTTTCCCGGACCCTGAGTCCTTCTGGGGTCTCTTCTCTTTCTTTGCCTCTTTCTCCTCCTGCCCATCTCCCACCACAGGTCTCTGCCGGGTGGGTCCTGTGGGAGAGGATGTGCAGAAGTCACCCAAACTCTCTCGCTCACTCTCCGCCTCCTTTTCTTTCTCCTTCTCTCTTTGTGCGTCTCTCTCCCTGCGTGTCTCTCCCCTCCCTCCATCACCCATCCTCTCCTCCCCCCTCTCCTTCTGAACATGGGCAAGTTCTGGGGGGATTTCAAGTCAGGCAGGATGCTTCGGGAAATGGGCTATTTAAAGCAAGCTGCTGTGGACTTGCATACCCCGATCCTGGGCTGAAACATCTGTGTTTCGCTTCCTCGAGCAGCCCATAATTGCCCCAATTATAACCCATAACGTTGTTCGCGAGACTAACAAAAGACGAGCTGTGCGTGGCATTCTCCATCGAGCCGACACCAGAGTTCTCCGCATGGAGGGGGAAAGGAGGCGCCTGGCTCCTTATCAAAACCTCCCCACGAGCCCGCGGCTCTTTCCCCCGCCTGCGGGCGGCTGCTGCGCGCACACTCCTTCCCCGCGTGTGGAAAGGGTGGCAGGGAGACATGCTGTGTGTGCGCTTCCACGGATGCTGCGATACCTTTCACAGAAAAGGGACCGGTGATCCTGTGTGCTTGCCGGGTCTTCTGCAGGGTAGGGTCCCCGGAATGCCCGTCCCCAACCTCCACCTGAGTAAAAGCAGCTTCCAGTGTCCCGCGTGCTGCCCGTCGAGGGCGCCGGGGTGCAGCCTGGGGTCGTTTTGGGGGGTGCAGCTCTGTCTGAGGGGCAGCAGCCAGGGCTTTATCAGCTGGAGGCTGAGGGTACTCCGGTCTCCAGGGAGGAGATTTTGCATTGTCAATGAAGGGGGTAATTGCAAGATGAGGCTCAAACCCGTGCTCGCTGGAGCCTGTAACAGGAGCTGTCACGAAGCTATTCTGTATTCAATCAATCAGATATTTATCTTCTCCACTCCACCAGGCAGGGGAGGTGCGCGGGGCCTCGGCCGGATTCAGCAGAGGTGATGATAACAGCCGTGTACATTTGTACAGTGATTTCCATCAACACGTTCACACCCATTATCCCCGGCAACAGCCCTGGGAGGTGCTGTCATTATCTCTGTGGTGCAGGGGAAAACTGAAGCTGAGAGGTTAAGCCATTTGTGCAGGACGCGGCAGACAGAGGGCTGAGCTCGGCCCTCCTAGGTCCAGCGCATCTCCCGCTTCGCTTCGGGCCAGGGGTGCTTATAGACCAATGGCAACGGGCTGGGGCAACACCAACACAGGGAAACAGTTAGCAGACAATGCCAGGCCAGCTGTAATTAAGTCCTAAATTGCGAGGTCCAGACAGAAGTGTTGGAGGGATTCCCGGGAAGGAGTGTTTGCCCCAGCGACTGCAGGGATGCGAGTGAGGCAGCGAAGGATGTGAATGGGTCTGTCTAGGGATTTGGAGAGAAAGGCGGCAGCCAGGACAAAGGCACAAAGGAAGGGCAAAGGAACGACATTTATTGAAACCTACTATGCACCAGGCAGTGACCTAAACACACTTATTGTGCCCGGCCGGCGTGGCTCAGTGGTGGAGCGTCGACCTAGGAACGAGGAGGTCACTGTTCGATTCCCAGTCAGGGCACATGCCCGGGTTGCAGGCTCGATCCCCAGTGTGGGCTGTGTAGGAGGCAGCCAATCAATGATTCTCTCTCATCATTGATGTTTCTCTCTCCCTTCCTTTCTGAAATTAATAGAAGTATATTTTATAAATAAATAAATAAACACGCGTATTTTGTGCTAAGACACATACGGACGCACGCGCGCGCGCGCGCGCACACACACACACACCACAAGGATGTGAGCCTTAGGGTGGGAGTTCCACACTTCTATCAGTGCGGTTCAGTGAACGTCACTAGAGCCCAACAGCTCCCAAAGCCGGAGAAGGAACCTTTGAAACCGACCAGCTCTGGGCCTGGGCGGGGCTGCTCATCAGATATCCTAGGGAGGGGAGGGCCCCTCTCCTGAATCATCATGACAACAGCCAGCCGCACTGGCTTGAATTACTGGGAACTAACTCATTCGGCAAACTGGGTTTCCTAAACACTTTGATTTAAATGCCTATAGGTGCCCCCACGATCTGACATGCAGGGTTCCTGCTAACCACAAACTAGCTGTGAGACCTGGGGCACACCAACTTGGGGGCCAGGCCGATGTTCTGGGCATCTCCCTAGATAGGCCACGATCACAATCGGTCTTGGCTTTCCATGATCCTGGGCTTTTTCCAACACTGGCAGTGGCTGCAGCGGCCGCAGCATTGCAGAAACACAGTATCTCGCCCGCTCTGAGGGCCTGGCTTGGCAGGTGAAGGGGAGAGATGGCCTCCCAGGAGTCCCGGGTCTCGGTGACAATGTCACTGAGTCACCACCCAGCCAGGGCTCTGCCGCCCCACCAGAGCTCAGAGCCAACCTCCCCTCTTCACACAGGGCCCTGTGCTCTCCCCTCACCCCCACTCCGCACTCATCCAGCCAAGAAATGTGTGGCGGGAGCCTCCCAGTGCCCGCAAAACAGACCCGCCAGCTTTCTCAGACCCCACAGTCAATGTCGCCAGATGTGAGCAGTGCCCAGCACTACACTGGGCTTCAGGACACGAAGGCTTTCTTTTTTATGGTGTTATCTCTCATCATTTGCACTTATAATGCATATGAATAAATAAGTTGGGAAAGCATGCTCAAAACCTGATTGCTGGTGGCATAAAGTTAAAGAAGCTTGAAGATTATTGATCTAGAGCCATTGCTCTTTTGCTTACCTCTGTTTTCTAATCTACTTGAAAATAACATTGAGTGATTTCAGTATAAAAGTAAATATACTTTGCCCTCGCTGGTTTGGCTCAGTGGATAGAGCATTGGCCTTCGGACTGAAGGGTCCCAGGTTTGATTCCGGGCAAGGGCACACGCCCGGGTTGTGGGCTCGATCCCTGGTGGAGGACATGCAGGAGGCAGCCAATCAATGATTCTCTCTCATCATTGATGTTTTTATCTCTCTCTCTCTCTCTCTCTCCCTTCCTCTCTCTGAAATTAATGAAAATATACTTTTTTTAAAAAAAAGTAAATATACTTTTACATTTTTATTTTAACTGTTTTGACAGTATGTGTGGAACTGTGGGCCAGACCCAGGAAGATCAACCTTAAGAGTGATAGCTGCTCAGTGTTGTAGCAGCCCTGATGGAGACGGTGCCTGGGGACCCCTCCAGACCCTCCCCTGAGCCCCAGGCTGGGCTGCCTAGAAGCTGCTTCCTCGTGAAGCCCTTAATGTCTTCCCTCTATATCCTTCTTTCTTGCTCCCCGTCAGCAAGAGAGCACAAATATCTGCCCACTTAGAAAATCAAAAATATTAACCATCTAATCCAACTGTCTCTTTTAGAGAAGGGTAAACTGAGGCCCAGAGAAAGGGTCTTGCTGTTATTGACAGAGTCAGAGCTTGAACCCAGGACTCTGGTTTCCACACACAGGGCTCCCGCCCGTTCCTGGCTCACCAGCACAGGGAACACTTGGTAGGGTGGGGGACTTGCTTTGCCCTCCATCTCCTCTCTCGCACTTGGTCTGCATAGGGTGGGGGACTTGCTTTGCCCTCCATCTCCTCTCTGCCCATCCCCTCTTCCCACGTGGGAATTTTAGAGCAGAAAAGGGACCATTTTGAACGTAAGCGTGTTAGTCAGAGGAGGAAAAGAAACAAAAGGGCCTCCCTCGGCAATAGCTGGTGAACAAGCGGCGTGTGGGCGTCCCGTCTGCAATGGGTCATAGAAATGGGGCGTGTGGGAGACAAACCCTGTGCTGGTGGGCAGTGAACAATTCCTCTGTGAACTGGGCAGAAGCAACAACAAAGAGGGGGAGCCCAGAGTTCAGGGCAAAGGGAGGTGCTCAGCATGAATTCAGCTCCACGAAGGCAGAGAGATGGCCACGGAGATCATGAGAGGTCTGGTGAGAGCATGCGCTTGGGAACCCGGTGGTCTTATTCCTCCTCCTCAAGCCTCAGTCTTCTCAATGGTACAAAGGGGACAATGCCCTTACCC